AGTGTGCAACCAAGATAAAAAAAAAAAAAACACATAGGATGTACAGCATAGCAAAAACAATGATAAGGCAAGAAAATACCTTAAAAATTTTCTCCTTTTTTTTTTTTTTCCTTTGTTTTTCCTTTTTCCCTTTCTTCTTCCTCTTCTTTTCCTTTTGCCTTCTGCAAACCCAAACATCTTCTAATATTAAATCCAAGGATAACACAAACACAAACCCAAAATCTCCTCAAAATAGTCACCGACCCTAAATTCCTTCTCTCAATCTCCCAAAAATCCCAAAAAAATCAAGGCATATTCTCCCAAATTTTTACCCCCCCCCAAAAAAAAAAACAACTAAAGCATCTTTCGAGTCTTTCAAACCCAGCATATTAGCAGAGCGTTGAGTTCCATTGAACCCACTAGTGGAACCCAGCAATCTACTAGGTGGGTTTGATGGAACATAGCATATTTGCTTTGCTAGGTTTTGAACCCCCAATAGCTCTGCTAGGTTTGCCTTGGATGATGAAGAATTAATTGATGAGAAGATTTAGATGGAGGAGAGGAGATGAGGAAAGAGATTATGAGGAGATGATTAAACCCTAAGGCTAGCAAACAAGGATCTAGGGGAAGAAGATGAACAACAAAAGAGGTTGGAGATGAAAAAGAAGGGATAACAAAAGGAGAAAGGAAAGAAAGTGAGGCGTGGTTGAAGATGAGGGTAAAAATGTAATTTTATCTTTATAATTAGTTGTCAAGTATTATTTGTCACACTGTCAATCTTACATGTCAAAATACTTTTACATGTCATCTTTTGCCTATCAAGTAATGGGACACGTAGGTGGATTTTTAACAAAAGGATCAAGTTGGGGTTAAAATGATAAACAGTAGGGACTAAATAAGGGATTTTTTGAGTTGAAGGATTAAATCGATGGTCCATACAATAGTTGAGGAACTAAAATGGGGTTTAACCATTAAAAATATATATACCAGGTTGTAAAACAGAACTATTAGAGTAGTCCTAGTGGTCGCAAGTTAATATCTTGTAAAAGACAAATTTATTTGGTGTTGTAGGGTTGAATCCCACCCTTTTTATTTGGAATTTGTAATTTTCTTTTCCTAAATTTTTATGTTAAAAAAAAAAACTATTAGATAAGATGGGAGGACGGCATCCAAAGTTAGCATACTTAATTTTAATTTAATAGTTAATATTATATAATTTAAATTAGTTTTATAATTAATATTTGGTAATCTAAATAGTTTAAAATTGCATAATATTTTTTAAAATAAATAAATAAATAAGGGATAGGACGCTCTCTCTGTGGTTCTTATCACGCCCTTCAATCAGGACCGTAGATCTGATTAAAAAAAGCAAGTAGTTTGACTTCATTTGGGCCTGATTCGGTCTTTTAGGGTCGGAGCCCACTGTGGGCCTCCTGTAGCACAGTACCAAGCGGCTTTTTTATTTTATTTTATTTTATTTTTTAGGTCGTACTTATCAAAAAAATTAAGGAGTCTTTATCATTATGGGCCATTAATTAGGAATGGACTCCAAATAGCTCTCAATTTGCACTTCAATTATATTATTGTAGAAATTGATTGTTAAGTTGCTTTCCAGTTGATTTCTATTGCCTTCAATCCTCACCACCCTCATAGCACTCTCATTATGGATTGTAGGGTTCTTTTGAATATGATTTATCATGTTTGTCTGAGCCATGTCTTCAGGGAGAGTAACATGATTGCTGATACCATGGTTAAGAAGGATGCTCAATCTCCATCTGATTTTCTTATCTTATATAACTGTTCTGCAGATGTTGAACTGCTTTGTACAGCCAGTGCTATTGGGGTTGGCTACCCAGAACTAGAACTTGTGTGTTAATTTAATGCAATTCTTATTATATATAAAAAAAAAAGGAGCACATTCGGACTTACTTAATCGAGTTGGTATTTTATTAACAGTGAATTGAGTTGTGGTGAATAACTATTTTTTGATATTGTAATTTAATTAACTATTTTTTTTATACCAAACATACAATAAAAAACAATTATTAGGAGGAAACGGGTCTTCGAGACCCATTAAGGCCGAACGGTATGGGCAGCCCCACGACCGTTAATTTCCTTTGCCTTTGTTATGGTTAAATTGAGAATTGGTCCCTTAGTTTGGCAATTTAGACTCATTTTAGTCCCTTAATTTTTTGAACTTTTTTTTTTTTAGTTTTCAAACTTTATTTGAGGTTAGATTATTTTAAATTTCAATACTTACTTACTTAGGTCATTGGGATTTAGATTTTTTCATAGTTGATTAGTACAAAAATAATATAGTTATAATATCATATAATACTATAAACTTACAATATAATGTGTTGTAATATAATCGACTATTTTCATTCAGAAGTTCATATGTAATATTATATGTATCTACTTATTTAATAATACATAATATTCATTTAATGACAATTTAATGACATATCATGATTGTAAATTTATAATTTCACATGATATTATAATTATATTATTGTCATTTACTAGTATTTATAGGGTGTTAAAGTTTAAATTTTTAAAATTTTAGAATTTAAAATGTATATTAGAGTTTAGAATTTAAGTGTTAGGATTTAGATTTTTAAAGTTAGAGTTGTATTATTAGGTTTAAAGATTTAATATTTAAAATTAAGATTTAATAACTTAAAAATTAAAATTATAAGATTTAAAAATAAAAATGATAAGTTATTCAACTTATTCTATCTAAATAAAGAGCAAAATAGCTAGAGGGACGAATCAGCTTGGGATTGACCGATCGGTCCCTATAACATCAACCTTTAATAACCCTTTAATAAGTATTTATTAACGGGGTCAAAGTTCAAACTCCTATAAGAGTTAACATTCAATCTAAAAAAGGGAAATTACAAACAACCTACTTGCATTTTAAAGTGTATGCATTCAAAGGCTTGTGGTATTGAAATGTGCATTTAAAAACCTATGTTTTAAACTTTGAACACTAAACCACTCTTACCATCCAAATGCTGTTAAAATTATGTGCAATATCTTAAATACTATTGACCTAAAAAAGAAAAGAAAAGAAAAGAAAAGAAAGAATAAGCTCAACTGTCGTACAGACTCTCTTTCATAATAATCTTTAAAGATTGATTCAAGTGAAAATGAAAACCAATCAAAATAACTCTTTGCATGTAATCAAACAAAATCTTTTAATATATTATAGTTTATATTCCAAAATGAAACTTTATTTCTAATTTTCTTTTATCGAACTTTTTTGTGTTTTGTTGGAAATTTTGTTGCTTGTTTAGGATTTAAAAAGTGAGGATTTCATTTGAAAATTGAAATATTCTACCTTGGTCATCTGTAGTTATAAATAATATATTTTTGATTTTATGCATATTTACTTTTAATTAGTTTCAACAATACACACTAATTAGAAATACTTTATACATGTGCAAATTTTTATTTTTTTCAATTGAATTACGCAAGTGATTTGAATGTGGCTAGTTAAAATGAATGAATGAATGAATTATTATCATTTTTTTATGTATTTTAGCAAATGGATGGTAATGAGTTGCCAAGAAATTATGAGACTGCAAGTGGTTTTAATGAGTTAAACCAATTACAATTTAACTTTTAATGCAAGACGGTGGTGTTAAGTAGAAGGGTGTTAAAGGAATTAAAATAAAAAGTGAAGTTTTCCATTAGGTTTTTAACGACAAGAGTGTCTTATTACTTTTATTCCAAAACACAAGTCTTTAAGTGCACATTTTGATACCACAAGATTTTAAAGGCACTCACCTTGAATCATAGGCCAATTAAGTATAATTTCTCTATCTAAAAAACTGTTACCACATGGGCTTCATGATTTGATAGTTATATTTCTCATTATAAGGTACACCCCAGTTCTAATATGGGGTTTGAACTCTCATTCTCTCAATTGTAATATGAAAATTGTTAAATTTTTTTTTATGGATTTTTTTAATTTATATTTTTAGAGTACATATTAAGAATATTTTAAAAATAAATTTATATAAAAATATAAAAATAAACATTAATTTTAATATTAATATAATATGAATAAATTTAATTAGATAATTAATAATAAATTAAATATTATTTTTTTATTTTTAAAAAATTTTTAACATGTGTCCTTAATATACAAATTAAAAAAATTATTTTTTTATACATTCATTTATATGGACTTGTACATAGATAACTGCCACTTGATGACATTTTGTGCTTTTACTTCCCAAATTTCCGGTTACAAAATTTGGAGAAGAATACCGAGCTATACATAAGAATTTTGAGACAAATTGAAAGGAATATGAAAAATGGAAAATGATGGAGAGAAAAATTTTTTACATGATTTTAAATATGTTTTTTAATAAGGTAATTACATTACAACTATAATTTTAAGGATGGAGATAAATGTTAGTGGTTAGGTTTGAAGTTAGGATCAAAATGTCACACCACTAAATTGTAGTTTGAATTATACTAAATCGTAAAGAAGCGTGAGTGTATATAGATATAGTTAATAAATATATAATTTGAATTATACTAAATTATAAAATAAAAATCATTATTAGATAAAAAGATCTATTGTTACTTGATAATCAAACTTTTATTGTTTGAATTCTAATATACATATAATAGAAAGCGAAAGTGTAGTCCGCAACCATTAATAGAAGAGTAAACCCTTAATATGAAGAAGAGTATACCCTTTACTATTAAAAGTTTCCTCTATTAATAATTAAAAATAATAAAAAAAAATTAATGACTTAAATAACTTAGTGATAATCTTTTTTCGCTAGTAGTAAGAGATCTTAAGTTTAAATCGTATGACATGGATGAGAGAGTTATTTTTTATTATGCAACAAACATAAAAAAAAATAAATAAATAAAACAGACTAAATTAAAGCATTCTCTACGTATGAATGAATCCTTGTGTTTTTTCATCTTTTTATGGGCTTTTTTTTATTAATATTTTAATATTTGATAATTACATTAGATTACGATTAATTCAGAATTGAATCATGTTGGATCTCATCAGAAGAAAACTCCCTTGCACTCATTTTTTCATTTATAAAAGTTCAATTAGATATCTTATTTAAAAAACACTAAATTCCTTCGGCTTAAACTAAGAAATCCTTGCCATCCTTCTATGGACTTGGATGGCACAAAAGGAAGTCCTTCTAATTGGACCAACCTTTCCGGTCGAAATTGAGCAACCACGAATTGGGCAAAAGGATTACCAAAAGTCAAAGCAAAAGAAAAAAAAAATAATGGTAAAAGGTTACATTAAAAAAAACTACTAAAAAAGGTAGAATTTCTCCTAAAAAAAGTTTTAAAAAATGAACGGGAAAAGACATCCACCGCCGCGACATCTGTGGCGGTGAAAAGGGCCGTAACACGGAAAAATGAAATTCCAACGGAAAAGACTCCCTTCTTTTTCTTCTCCTTCGCCGTTTTGCGCTCTCGTACGTCAACTCGCGACGGGACAACACCGAAACGGAGGTCTCCGGGAACTCTCGCCGTATTTAAGGAAAAAAAAATAAAAATAAAAAAGTATATATATTTACATATATAATTCCGGCCCTCAAATTTCATTGTGAGCCCCACAAACACTGATCACCTTAGCACACAGCACATTCCACTGGCTCTTCCGTTTCTCAATCCGTTCCTAATCTTCTAGGGCTCGCCGGAATCTCCACAGAGGTATAACCGGAGGAGAGTTAGGGAGGGTGTCTTTGGTTGAAGATGAGTTCCAGCTCGGATTTGGTGAGGTTCGTGGAGTCGGTGCTGGGTGTGCCGTTGGGGGATTCGGTGTCGGACTCGGTGATAGTGATAGCCACGACGTCGTTGGCTGTCATTGTTGGGCTGCTGGTGTTGGTTTGGAGAAAGTCGGCTGCTGGTCGTAGCCGCAAGGACAAGCCGATTCCGGTGCCCAAGCCGCTGTCTCTCAAGGACGATGAAGGTGATGAAGACTTCGCCGCATCCGGTAAAAAGAAGGTCACTGTTTTTTTCGGCACGCAGACGGGAACGGCCGAGGGCTTCGCCAAGGTAACCGCTTTAGAATTTTATGTTTAGTTGCTAATTCTGATCGTTTTTTCCCATGTTTTCTGGATGCTGGAAATGAGAACTTAGATCAATCAAGCAATCCAAGAGCCAGAAGATCTATTTTTGAATTATATACTATTTTTTGATGATGGATTAATTGTGCTCAATGAATTCTTAAGAAAAAATTGAGGACATTTTTACATTGCCGTTTCAATTTATCTTCAATTCAGACTCCAGGAATTTAGAGGATTCAGAAATGGTCCTGATATTTATGTTCAAGAAGCTGTCATTTGCCAACTTTGCGATAGTCTAGCTCTTGACTTGTTGGCATTCAGAAATCACATCATGGGTACATTAAAAAATGTTAAATTGATCTGTATAAGACATCACTATCCATTTAACCAGGGAGTAAGCTGATTTTAACCAGGGATTTTAGCTTTCATGATGCAAGGTTAACGTCTAGCTGCTTACTCTTTTGTGTGATAAAATTCACACTGTTGACATCCTGCTAAGTATGGCAGGGTGCCTGAAATTATGCTTGTTATTCATTTGTCAATAATCAGAAGAAATGAACTGTTCGTATTTTGTAGAAGTCCTACTTTAATGAGAATTTCTAACTGCAGGCTTTAGCAGAAGAGATTAAGGCAAGATATGAGAAAGCAGCTGTCAAAGTTGTTGATCTGGTATGGATATTTTCTGTAATTTTGCTTTCTGGCTTGAAAAGTTCCTTCTAGAATTCAGGACCTTTGGTATTATATTGTTTTTTCTATTTGGAGTAGGATGACTATGCGGCAGATGATGAACAATATGAGGAAAAACTCAAGAAAGAGACTTTGTCATTTTTCATGGTGGCCACGTAAGATAGATCCTTAATTTGATTATTTGATATATAATTGCTCTTGCTTTCTGGGAAGGATGGAGAATTCATGCAATGGATTTGATCCCGACATTGTAGTTATGGAGATGGTGAGCCAACTGATAATGCTGCAAGATTTTACAAATGGTTTATTGAGGTCAGTGGCTTCTTTGCCATGCATTGTCATATGCAAATTCAACAATTCTCTTTGGATCACGTTTTGGTATATAATAATATATGTGAGGATGTATTGGTTCTTTTTCAGGGAAATGAAAGGGCCCCATGGCTTCAGCAACTCACATATGGTGTTTTTGGTCTTGGTAACCGTCAATATGAACATTTCAACAAGGTAAGATTTGCAAAAGGACTTACAGAAAAGAAGCAAAATGTGATCATGTATTGTTCTGTGTTCAGATAGTATAACCTCAGTTTGATGGCACTGATTTGGAAACAGGTAGGAAAGGTGCTTGATGAGGAACTTTCTAAGCAAGGTATTTTTCAACTCTACAGCCTCTACTTTTTCATTCTGCTTGCAATTCTTTATTTATATTTTTCCAAATCAGTAGAACCATCTTAGTGTCTGTAGGTGTTTTTATGTTGTTGATTACAATAATATATAAAATTAATATTCTGCTGGGCAGACTGCACGTTGTGAGCTGATTGTGGCTTTCTTGATGCATGAAATTCCATTCTTATGTTTTCTTTCCTCTTTTTTATTTTATTTTATTTTTTTGCATTCACATCCACCATTCAGTCATTGGAGATGCAGTTGTGTTATTTTTCTACTTCAACATCATTAAGGAGGCCATAAGATGTAGACTAATTTATGCTTCTTATTCTAAGAGAGTGACTTTTTTTTTTTTTGGTGGAGGGGGTGGCGAGGGTACCAGACTGGATATTATCTGTGTGATTACACAAAACTTTTATTTTGGTCTATATAGGTGCTAAATGTCTTGTTCCAATTGGTCTTGGTGATGATGATCAATGCATTGAGGATGATTTTGCTGCTTGGTATGTAGTCATTATCCAATCAATAAATTTTGTTGCTCTCTTATTACAGTTTCTGTTTGGGGCCAATTTTAGTTTTCGACATGTCAGCTTTACTGTGTCCTTTTGATTTCTTCTCCCCCTAGGAGAGAATTATTATGGCCAGAGTTAGATCAATTGCTCAAAGATGAAGATGATACAACCACTCCATCTACTCCATATAAGGCTGCTATTCCTGAATACAGAGTAGTGATTCATGACCTGAGCATGACTTCTGAGGCTAACATCTCGCACATGGCAAATGGGAATGCTTCATATGATATCCACCATCCATGCAGGTACTGGGAGTTATTAGGGTTTTTTGTTTCTTCTTCTTTGTGTGCTTTAGTAATGTTGTTGTTGCTGGTTTTTCATTCAGAGTTAATGTTGCTGTTCAGAGGGAGCTTCACAAGCCTGAATCAGATCGGTCTTGCATACATTTGGAATTTGACATATCAGGGACTGGTATCATGTAAGTTCAATGGCTCCTTGGTGCTTCTTGTTATCATATTTGACTGGTAGTCAAAAAGTCATGCTTATTTGTGAATAAAAATGTGAAAAATAAAGAGAACTTGCAGCAGTTTCACTCTTCTTTTATATGCTATGTGTGAGGGTTTTTTCTTCTTCTTCTTCTTCTATATAGATTCTGGTTGCAGATTATGACTTCTTGTTTGATGTGTAGCCTCTGGTACTTTTAAAAAGAGTATGTCTGACTGCCCTAGTAGTATGTTAATTACTGCATTTATTTTCTCAGTAAAGTTATTCCATTATATCCCAATGCTTTGTTTTATTGCCAATTAAATCTGGGGAACTGATGCAAACATTGAAGTGCCTTTCATCCTTGGATTTTTTGTTGTGTAATAATGATTGTTGTTGTGGGTGTCATTGTGTCAATTTAATCTTCAATTTGGTAGTGTTTTATATCTCCAATGAAACTTAACACTGAAGTGCCTTTCATCCTTTTGAGTTTAGTTTATAAAGAATAATTAGTATGGAATTAATAAGTTCCAACTGTCCCAGATATGAAACTGGAGACCATGTCGGTGTCTATGCTGAGAATTGTATTGAGATTGTTGAGGAAGCTGCAAAGTTGTTAGGTCAACCTTTGGATTTGCTGTTCTCTATACACACTGATAATGTGGATGGCACATCCCTTGGTAGCTCGTTGCCACCTCCTTTCCCTGGTCCCTGCACACTTCACACAGCATTGGCACGATATGCAGATCTCTTAAACCCTCCAAAAAAGGTTTTTCCATTTTTCTTCCTCTCTGCAGTTTCTTTAATTGCTTGTCTTTCTCCACGATCTTGGTTTATTCTTAAATGTTAATTACTATTTTGTAATTATGTGTTGTCAGGCTGTTTTGGTTGCTTTGGCTGCCCATGCCACCGAACCCAGTGAAGCAGAAAGACTAAAATTCTTATCATCACCGCAAGGGAAGGTTGATGAGTTCAATATATACATACATATATATATATATATATATATTTTTTTTTTGTGATTATTGTTGTCTTTTCTTCATGTTTAACATACCATCTTTTTGTCCAGGATGAATACTCACAATGGATTGTAGCAAGCCAGAGAAGTCTTCTTGAAGTTATGGCAGAGTTCCCATCAGCTAAACCACCACTTGGTGTATTTTTTGCAGCAGTAGCCCCTCGTTTACAGCCACGTTATTACTCTATCTCATCTTCTCCTAGGTGGATATTCTTCTTTCCTTTTTTATAATTAGATGCTGTTTTGTCTAATACAAGGAGTTATAAGGTTCCTCACTTATGCTTTATGCAGATTTGCATCCCACATGGTTCATGTAACCTGCGCTTTAGTTTATGGCCCAACTCCAACTGGAAGAATCCACAAGGGGGTGTGCTCAACATGGTTTAAGGTTGTGATTCTGTTACAAAGTCCTCTCTTTGGTTTCAGCTTTATTCATTCTCTTAATGTTATCTAATGCTAAGCCTGCAGATGAATTCCTCTTTTTATGCTTTATTAATTTTCACTATGGAATCCATACGAAGCCTGTCCATGTTCACCTCCTGGTAAACATAACTTAGGCTTTATTGTCATCTGACATCTTATGCTTTCTAAAATTCAGAATGCAGTTCCTATGGAGAAAAGCCAGGATTGTAGCTTGGCTCCTATTTTTATCAGGCAATCTAATTTCAAGCTACCAGCTGATCCTCAAATTCCAATTGTCATGGTGGGGCCAGGGACTGGATTGGCACCTTTCAGAGGGTTTCTACAGGTTTGCTGTTTGCCCAATTTGCGTCTTTCCTGGTCCTGTTAAGCAATATGACAAAATGATTGTTTCCTTGTCCTGTAGGAAAGAATGGCCCTTAAAGAAGATGGTGTCCAGCTTGGTCCAGCTCTTCTCTTCTTTGGGTGTAGAAATCGTCGAATGGTTAGCATTGTTGCCATGTTTACTTTCAATAGCAAAAATCTTGTGGGACCATTGTTAGCATGTTTTATGTGATTGGCCAAAATTGATAATTGCTTGTAGGATTTCATTTATGATGATGAGCTCCGTAATTTTGTGGAAGAAGGTGTCCTGTCTGAGCTGATTGTTGCATTCTCACGGGAGGGACCTCAAAAGGAGTATGTTCAACATAAGATGATGGATAAAGTAAGTAGGGCCAGCAGTTGGTAAGTCTTTTCCTTAACAAAGACACTAATTTGAACCCTGGTCTTTGTATAGGCAGCAAACATATGGAGCCTGATTTCTCGAGGAGGATATCTTTATGTGTGTGGTGATGCCAAGGGTATGGCAAGAGATGTCCATCGCGCCTTGCATGTTTTAATTGAACAGCAGGTATAAGTCTCTGTTCTCGGTGGCTTAAGGGATCAATTCTCTAATAATATGCCTTTTAATTTAAGGGGAATTCAACATTTAAATATTATGTTACGAATTTCAGGAGAATGTGGAGTCATCAAAGGCAGAGGCTATGGTGAAGCAACTTCAGATGGATGGACGATATCTTAGGGATGTCTGGTGATGCTCCCTCCGCCATTGTCGTTTTCTCCATGATTCTTGACATCTTAGCCAAATATTTGGGCAGATTTATTCATTGATACCTCAAACTTCTTTTCGGTTTTTCATCTGTGCTTCTCCCATTTTGAAGCATAAAAGCAGCTGTTTGTGAAGTAGTGGTTGAAACTGCAACATAAAATGGATGGTTTTGTGATCCGTTTTGTTTTCAGTGATCCTGAATAGAATGATTATTTGTTTCCATTTGTAGACTTCTAAACTCCCGGAAGAACAGCTTTTGATAGACGGTAACAAGGATGTCTGAACTTGTAATGTTAACTACAGGTTATTTGGGAGAATACTGGTCCTAGTAAAATAATGGTGGTGTCATGGAATGAAAATAAATTTAGAGATCTCGCTCTGGTTTTTTCTGCACTACTTGTTACCTGTTCCTTGTTTATTATCAACATTAAGGTTCCTAGCCTATTGTTTCTCATATTTACTTTATACTTATAGTCTTATTAAAAAATAATCACTGTTACTAACCACCAAACATAACTTTTTGAGAATAAAGATATGGTGATTAGTCTTTTTGGATTAACAAAATCAATACTAACAAGATTTTTATAGTGGCTTTTTTACCAATGGACCGATTTTATGTTTTTTTTGTTCTTCTTTATGAGAGTTCTTATTGTTTTATTAATTATTGTATTAATCAATAAACGAAAAATAAATCGTTCTGATTGTAAAATTCAGAAATCAAATGTTTCTTGTATTTGGCGAAAACAACTTTTTTAAAGATTGTTTTTGGCAGTTTCATGGGCCAATATTACATTCTGTGAAAAAATGGGGGTGGTCACATTTTAAACATGGCCAAAATATTTAAAATTTCCTTTTTGTTTGATCAAATTTATAGATAAGAATATTAAAAAATATTAAAAATGATAAAAATTAAAAAAAAGTTTTTATAAATTAACAATAAAAATAATAATATATTAATATTAATACATAAAAATATTAATTATATTAATTAATTAATTAAATTATCTAAATAATTTTAATTATCAAAAATTATAATCGAATTAAATGTTTAGTCTGAATTTGTTTAGTTTGAGACTTTGAGTTTAGAATGGAAGCCTCATCAGAGATATTTTTTAATAACCAAAACTTCGGTTCGGTTCGGTTCGGATTTCGGAACCGAATGCCCTAGCACCTGAGAATTTCTTGAGCGCCAACCACTGCCGCTCCGTCGCCGGAGTGAAAAATCGCAACGCCTCGTAGCCGTCACCGCGTTTCCTTCTCTTTCTCTCTCTCTTCAAAATCCCAGTTTCTTTCTCCGCGCGAGAACTGAACTCTGTCCTGCGCATGCTTCCACGGTTCCTAACACCAAATTCTCTCCGAACTTTCGCCCCTTAAAAAAAAAAAAAATCGTCGAAACCACTCTCCGACCCTACTCTCGTTCCAGCCGCCATCGCCGTCCTCCTCTTCGTCTTTCAATTATTCCGTACTGACCACCTACGTCTCCCTTTCTCCGCTTCGTCCTCCTCCTCCCCCTCCCTCTTCGTCTGTCGCCCTTTACACTTCTTGTTTCTCCATCTAGGGTTTTGGTTTGATTGCAGCAATTGGGAGTAAAAGCAATTGGTTTTAATTTTTGTTCTTCGTGGGTTCACAGCTCGTACCATGTAATTTCTCCATGAACACGACAATGATCAAGAAGGGCAAGAGTAAGAAGTGCTCAATCAGCGAGGAGGACATAGCCAATCTCTTAGAAAGGTCCCTACTTTTCGTTCTTTCCTCTTCAATATTTTCCTTCTTAGTTTTCTGTTACTGATTTTGTGTGCCTTCTATTGTTTCTGGCTTGGTTTTGATGTGTGTTGTTGGGCAGATACACAGAAACAACTCTGTTGGCATTGCTGCAAGAAGTGGCACACTCGGCCGAGGTCAAGCTGAATTGGAAAGAGCTTGTGAAGAAGACTTCTACAGGGATTTCAAATGCTAGAGAGTACCAAATGTTATGGAGGCATTTAGCCTATCGTGAAGGGTTGGCTGAGAAATTCGAAGATGGGGCTGAACCTCTGGTCAGTTTTTTGTACCTATATTTAGTTTACGACTTTAAATTTCAAGTTTTTAAGAGTGTAATTGAAACATTTAAGGTGTGATGTCCGCTAATTACTGTGTTAGATTGGCGGATTTGATATGATTTAAAGGTGCAATTCCTCATCATACCCACATTTTTCCGTCTGTGCATGGCTAGTCAAAATGGGTTTTAAAACTTCCATCTCTGCATGGCTCTTCCTAAAAGCTAGCGAAATGACATAGTAAGAATGACTACACAATAACAAACAATTAGTGCATATCCAAAAAAAGTGCAGTCCTAGTGCTCTGTGCTACTGTTGATTTTGTTATTGCTATGAATGTTGCCAGACATAAAATTGTTTCTTGTTATTGGATATAAACAATTTTCAGTTTTATTTTAGTTTTCAACTAGGATGTCTTATACAGGCAAGGTGGTAATGGTCATGTATAAAAGGTAATTAAAATTTTTAATTTGCAGGAAGATGATAGTGACTTAGAATGTGAATTGCAACCTTTTCCTTCTGTAAGTAATCAAGCTTCAGCAGAGGCTGCAGCTTGTGTGAAGGTAAGTAGCATACCTTACATTCTTAAAGAATGATTCCTTTTATAATTTCTATTTTGAAATTCTGGTAAACTAAATACATGCTGCATGATAGTTGACTTCATTACTGGAGAAAAAGAATAGAACCCAATTTTTTGTCTCTTGAAACTTCTTTTGGGTTTCTATCTAGCATACATCAACATGTACAACTTTGACAATTATTTTAACCAGCTGATTGCCTTCATCATTCCATAAACTGTTACTGGTTCCATGTGTTGTCGGTTCTACTTGTCATCAATGTAGTTCCAACTGGGATTTGATGTAATATAGTTGCTGGAGTAACCTGGAACTGGAATCAAATTTTTTGTTGTTCTCTTTGTCAACCATCTAGTTCGGTTAACTGGTTCACATTTAAAAAATCTTATTTGTCTTCTTGGTTCTTTATTTTTCTCCAGTCTGGTTATCTTAAATGCTTCTTCTGGTTAGGTAATGATTGCCTCTGGATTACCAAGCAACTCAAGTATTCGTAACAGCTCAACAGTAGAGGCCCCATTGACTATAAATATACCTAATGTGCGGACATGTAGAGCTTCCGCAGAAAGTTCACAATCTACTTGCTCTATGAGAGGGATCAACATCACTGTTCCAGTTTCAATTCAAAAGAATATTACATTAAATGACTCATTGGATGGAAATGGTACTGAACGTGGGAACAATTCTCGGAAAAGAAAGAAATGGTCACCAGAAGAGGATCAGGAACTTATAGCTGCTGTGAACAAACATGGTGTTGGGAATTGGGCAAGCATCTTACGAGAAGAATGCATGGGAGATAGAACTGCTGCACAGCTATCTCAGGTTGGCTTTGTCACCCAAACTGATTTATTTTCATGAATGTTCCTTGAATTCTCCTAAGTGGTGCATGCTAATCACTGATCCATTATTTATCATTAATTGAAGTGGTGTACACTGCATAAGAAAATTGAATCATATATATATATATATATATATACATATATTTGTAAATATTATGGATCAATGTTATGCTAGAAGAGCTAAGAATTGAGATTAGAATTTAAGTAAATCATTTTTGCAGTAAGTAGTGATCTTTTGTTGCAAATTGCTGTTAGCCATGCATGTCTTGGGAGATCTAGCTGTTTCCATCACTTCATTTGACCATTTTCTGTAGTTTTGTTTTCCCCTGCTCCCTCTACGTCTCTCTGAATTGTGATTATGCAAGTTTCATTTCCTTGAGGGAAGTTCGTATACATTTCTAATTTATGGTGAAAATTATGTTCCTCAACTTTGTGATTTCTTCCTAAAATACTGATTTGCACAATCCTCTTGTAGGTATGGGATGGACACGTGTTAGACACTGCTATAGTCTCTTTTTTTCCCCTCTTCTTTTTCTTTTATTTTTTTTTTCAGTCACTGAAAAATACACTTCGTAAGAGCAATCCGTTGTCATCTAGTCCAGTCAGGATGCCTGGGTTTTGCCCAGTTTTCCCGGGTTCAAATCCCGGCAACGGATTTCTTTTAACTGTATAAATACCTTAAATTTCATGGCAGGTAGGAATGCTAATGAAATTGTTAGGCTGAGATATATGGTTTTGTTTCCTTGTTCCTTTATGCTACTAATTCTGGAAAGGTTGTTCCAATATTTGCAGAGATATAAAAGCCTTATTAAGAAGCAAGGAAATGTCAATTTGGAGGAAAAACCAACTATCCCACAGCTTACTGAGGCTCAGCTGGCAACCCGTAGTGCATTGTCCTTAGCCCTTGATAGGCCGAAACAAAACTTAACGGCAGCTTGTACAAGAAGGCCTGGTACAATTCTTAACCACCTCATGCTATTTTTAGCCTGTTATAAGGCCTTATCTGGTATGCATGCAAGCTAAGCTTAAAAGTTGATGATATATATTGTGATTACCCTTGCCCTTTATGTGTCAATAACGGACTACCTGTTATGCTGCCTTTTTTTCCACTTATTGATGAGCTGATATGTTAAAATTGACAGCTTTGAAGACCACGCCCAGTACCTCTGCACTTCCTACTGCAACTGCTGAAATTTCAGATCAAGCCCAAAATCAGTCTCAACAAGGCTCCATTGCAACAAAATCATCTCCAGTTGAACCATTGGGTTCTACCATGAAATCTCAAATAACCTTGGAAAAACTGAAGACCATGCCTGGTGCCTCTGTGCCTCCAACTGCTACTACAGCTGAAACTTCAGATCAAGCCCAAAATCAGTGTTAACAAGGCTCCATTGCAAAAAAATCATCTCCTGTTGAACCACTGTGTTCTACCATGAAATCTCAAATAACCTTGAATAAACCATCAGCAAAATCCTTTCCAACTCCAGTTTCAATTCTAGATGTTACTACAGGCGCTGCTGGGGCCCATATTGGTAACCCTGAGACTGCTGCATCATTGTTTAAACCTGCCAAAGCCAACAATGCTATCTATGTCATGTCCTCTGGTGGTTCTTCAATCAAGCCCCATGTGCCTGGTGGTGCCTTCTCCCAACAAGAGGTTCATCCGAAGGCAGCTTCTGTTCGTGCTGGCCAGTCAGTTGAACCACTTTCTACATCTTCCTATGTCATGTCTGCCCCACACAGTTCAGTAAAATCTCTCTCACCTCTGGTTAAGAACACTCCACCTGCTTCTGCCTCATCATTAAATATATCATCTCAGCAGTGTAATGCCATTGCCTCTGGTCCAGCTGCTGAATGCCAGCCAAAGCAAGAGCTTGAGGCTACCAAAGTGATCAAAGGACCTAACCTCATCTCAGGCAGTGGCAGTTTATCAAAAGAGCGAGTGCAACAAAATGGAAAGTGCACGTCAACTGATGACCTTGGTGAGGGAGTAAAGGGACAGAAAGCAAACCTGGAACCTAAGGTCAAAAATATGAATATTGCACAGCATCCTAATGAGAATTTGATGGCTGATGATAACCCAGTGGATGTCACTGCTTGTGCTACAGAAAAGAATCAAAATGCCTATCAATTGGATATTGCTGAGCATCCTAATAAGAAGTAGGTGGATGGTAATAAAAATGTGGATCTCAATGGCTGCACAGCTGAAAAGAATCAAAACACCTGTGATGGTGAGATGAGATGTTCAGCAATCAGAGAAGGCAGCACAAAATCTACAGCTGAGTAGCAGCAGTAATCGAGAGGCTTTAAGCAATTCAGAGGCCAGTACTACATCTTAGTGGAAGAGCGTGACATCTTGTCAAAAGTAGGAGAAATTTGTCTGGGTTATAATGATTCCGTTTTAGGTGATTATTTTTTGTTGTAAAATTCTCTTTCGAAGTGTGGAAAGAAAAAAAATAACTAGATTTTGTTTTTCTTTATTTGCTTTAGGAGATGTTATCATGGGCAAGAATTATAACCTTTTATACACTGGTATACTCTTGAAATAGAAACAAATTCTCTTCCCCTTTCCCACTATTTGGGTTAATGGCTTAGTACTTCCTCTCCTTTGCTTGATTAGTACGAACCCAAGAATTGTGAGAGAAACTCAAGTCACTTCTAGATCGGTATAAAATACAGGAAGTATTAAATCCCAAATTGAAAGAAGAAAAACAAAATCACTCTGTAAAAATTCTAACTTCAAAGGTGTCCAAACAATCAGATTCAAGGTGGAAAAAGAAACTCTCCCTGAGTTTTCTATGATAGTCTATTCTGGGGGTTCAATGGGTGCTCCTATAAAACTATACTGTTTATTCAGTGCTGGACTCATGCACGAGAACATGGATGGCGTCCTTGAGTGCTTCTTGCCCTTTAACTTTGCTCCAAACAAGAAAGACCTCAGAGGAATTCTAGCCCGAGCTGATCTTCCTGGCCTTTGGTTTGTTGATGATGTAATCCCATAGTCCTCGTCCAGTTTCTCCATTGCCCTCTCCACTTCCACCTTCAGCTGTCTCACTCGTGCGAAACCTGCTTTCAGTTCATCACAAACCTTGTTGTTTTCCTGTTTCATGTTGAGAATCTCACCCTGAAACTTTGCAGCCTGATATTGACTGAGCTCAGCATCTTCTGCTCTGGAACCTGCACTGGTAAGTCTTGATATCTCTTCTTGGATGTTGCACATGGATGAATATCTTCCTTTCAGTTCATCTTTCAATACTGCATTATTTTCTTGCCATAATGTTAATTCAGTCTGCACTTCTCTCAGGTGCATGAATATTGGCCGGGCATCTGAGGCTAGAGATTTGAGATTGGTGTGCTTGTTTTCCCGCATTTTCAATAGTTCTGCATTCAAGTCCTGGACTGAGGCTTCATACTTCTGTATCTGATGAAAACAGGTGCTAAACCTCAACCAGAACTCCAGATTTTCCTCCAGCAACCCATCAATGTCTGAACGGAGTTTTTCTTCTACAGCTGAAACAGGTCGACTTGGCACAGGTTTTGTCTTGGTCATTGTGCGGTCCTCCATTTCTTTTTCTTCCTCTTTTGTGGAAGAGCCTCTCCGTTCATGATGTGAAGTTGGGGATGAGAAAGTAGAATTTGCCATGCTAGCTGTGTGGCTTATTCCTTCCTGCCTTGTCACACTACTTTCTTGATCTTCATCTAGAATTTTATGAGGGGAGTTCATTTGTTGCCTCAAAGATTGAATCTCTCCATCCCTAGAAGCAACAGCACTCTTCAACTCCCTTATCTGCAATGCCAATTCAAAGAACCCATCTCGGTTTTTCTGCTCCACTTCATTCAGCTTCATTTTCACGTCTTTATAATCCCGAAGGACAGAAGTGTATTCCTCCAGTAAAATTTTTTCCCTATCATCCAATCCATTTGAGAATAGCTGGCCCCAGTTCGGCTGGTTATCTTCTTCATCTGTCCCCAGTTCCTCTGCATTACTTTCCAGAGTTCTGCTTGCTGTCTCAGATAAATCTTTCTTCTCAACTTTGTCCTCTTCTCTTGGTTCCTGAGGCTTTTCAGGCATAACATCAAGCTCTGCTAAAACATATTTTTTCTCCTCTCCCTTCTGGTTTTCTTTACCTTTCAAAGCCATGGAACTGCCACCAGGGGCCAAACCATCTCCTTGGTCTTTAATTCCCTTGCCAGCTTTGGCATCTGCTGCAACTCTGTCTTCCTGGAACATTTCTATTGTCTCATCATCCTCATCCATTTTAACACTTTGTAATTTCACAGATAAATGATCAAGGTTACAACTTGCCTCGGTAAATTGAGTTTTGAGGTTGTTGTTTTGTTCTATTACAGTTTTGACAAGATCTTTAACTCTAGATAATTCCTCCTCCAACTCTGTCATCTTGGCTCGCATGATGTCTGAGCATTCAACCAGAGCTTCCTTGTCTTCCTCCAGGTTGCGGACATGTGATTGAAGCCCATCTGTTTCTGATCTTAATCTCTTTACCATGCCATTTTGAGAGAATACTTCAGTCTCCAAGTTAACAACCCTTTGTACAAGGTCATCTATATTATCTGCCAGTTGTGACATGGTCAGGGAGGAGTTTGAGTTTAATTCGAGCTGTTCCTTAATCTTCTTTCGTAATAGCACTAAATCATGCTTCTCTTTCTCCCAATTGTCAATTTCTCTGTCCAAGTTTTCTGATTCTGAACCTACACTGTCAGACTCATCCTCCTCCAGCTGTTCTGATTTGGGAAGGAACCTCCTTCTGATAGCCTGAAACTTCTTCTGTGCTTCAGTAACCCTTTTGGATTCTTCTCTTGCCTCTTTAGCTGATTGCTGTTGTTCTTCTTGCAACTTAACCAACGCATCCTGGCATGATTTAAGAGCTGTACTCGCCATTAAGTTTCGAGCTTCATTATCTTCAATAAAAGCACCAATGCCAAACTCATCTTGTAAGTTGAATACCTTCTTCTGTTTTTCATTTATTTGGCTCTCTGTCTCCCAATACTTTTCACATCCCCGTTCATATGAGCTTCTTATGAACTCCTTTTCAGTTTGCATTGCCAAGATTTCCTTTTGGAGCTTGTCAATTTCCTCTAGTGCCTCATCTTTGCTCAACCCTGAACTTGGAAGTGTAGCAACTCTAGCAGAACTGGGCGTTTTCCTTAGTTGGCCCCTTCTTGACAACAGTGTGGGTGAGTTCTTGAACTCTTTCTTTGGAAATGGAACTTTTGGGACACCTGACTTCGGGAGAGGTGGTCTATCAGGACTGGGGGAAGAAGTGGACATTCGGCTGAAATTTTCATCATCTTCATCATCCATGGCAAACTGAACTTGTTCCGGAAAGACAGAGGCAATGGTGCGGTTGGCACTTTGAAGATCTTTTGACAAGTGATCATATCTCTCAGCCAATGCCCGGTATGCCCTGAAAGTTTCTTGCACAGAGTTTATAAGTTCTGGCCTCTTTTTATAATACATTTCAGCCCTCTTTGCAAAGGAGTCTCCATCATCCTCAATAATTTTGAGCATGTAATCAACCCTGTCCTCCATATCTGTCATTTTACATGTACCAATGTCACCACTTTTCTTAGATAGCAAGCAACCATGGTCTCAAACGTGCATCTCTGTCTATAAGAGTAATAAAATTTCTTTGAAACAGATCTATACATGTCATTGTCTCTGATCCTAATGCTGTATCAATTATTCATCACATTGCTTTCTATCTCCTTTACTTTCCTAGAATTTTTCTAGATTTCCTTCAAATGCATTAGGGGAAAACAAAATATGGGGAAAACAATACTAGTTATGGATCAATCCAGCACCGGATAATTGACGATACCCAGATTTTTTATTTGGCTAATCCTACATTAGAATTAGGGAATATGCATACCGTGAAGGTTCTCTTCGAGCCATTTTGACTGCTTTGTCCTGATGTGGCTTGCCCACCACCATGAATATGCTTTGTTTGCTGCTCTATGTAACATGATTGTCTGTTTTCTCTTATCTCTAAACCAAAGGAAGGAAACATGCAAAACCCATCAGTCATATCCCATTATGATGAAAACGATCATGAACCCATGATTTGATGGTGAAGAAAGAAAGAGATTACTTCAGAGATTCAGAAAAGTAGAGCAAATGGGGTAGAAATGGAGGGGAGGATGCTTCGGGGATTATGTGTTGAATCCTTCGGCAGACTCTATAATATAGGAGGCCTTTTTCCAATGGGGAATTTGCTATATTTGGACCTTTGATATCTTTTGCAACAAAATAACCATTTCCTAAAGTTCATCAAAATGTTAACTAAGTGGGTCTTCCAAGACATAACTAACCCTTCTTAGTTAACCACCTAAATGACCAAGTGGTTATCTCTTCCCTGGAAAATAAGAGCTGTAGGTTAAGATCACATTGTATTTGGGTGGAAAAGACTAAGAGATGAGAAAGGGTTATCCTCATTCTGTAACCAAAAAATGTTACCCCTTATTTTCTATCTAAATATAGTTTAATACTTAACCTTTATTGTTATTTTCCCATTTCAAACTGAGAGTTGTTCATGGAAGATCCATATCCAAAGAGTTGGTTGATTTTCTTCTGTTTTGGCGACCAACATCATAATGCCAGAATCCGAGATGGACTAATTGATGTCTGCAAGCTGACTCTTTTTTCGGTGTGTGTATGCGCATGTACATCTAGATTTACATTACCCTGCTCATTTAGCACCTAACAATAAAAGGTAGAGAGAGAAAGCCTTCATTTAAAGAAATTTACACAAATACTTCACTTATTTGCGTATTATTTACATTAGTAACATGGAAAAGCAGAAACCAGCTTCAAAATGCACAGCCAGCATATTTACATCGATGAATTGGAGACACACCCACACCTTCGTCTTCTAGTTTATCCTCTAACCATACCAACCCCTATAATCTTGAATTATACAGCAATCTGCTCAATCTGGGCAACATGAGAAACAGGGCCACTAGACAGCAGGTCCATTCCTTTCTCTGCCTGTATCAACGAAGCTGTGATGAGAACGCATCAGTTCCAAGTTCCATCCTCAACTACAGTTGATCCTTCACTGCTGTTCTTGCCACTCATAAAAAGATCCTACACTAGATCTCTTCTTTTACCCCTTCTCTATGATACATTCATCTGTCTTTCATACTTATATACAATAACTATCTAATTACAACAATAGAATAGGTTCTTCAAGCAAATGAAGCAGATCATAATACAGACTTGTACACAGCCATCAATAATCAAGGGTGTCAGCTGTTCTGGAGAGAAGATAGCCACTGTTCCATGTATTTCTTGCTCTCTGCATAGTGAAATAAAAGGAGGACATGGAGAACTTAGCATAATGTATGCACTTGCAACAAATACCAAAAGAACTTATAAGAGGAATTTGAGAATGTGAAACCTCTATCCCTAAGTTTCTAACTATTTAATCTAAGATATCCTGACATTCAGATAAAACCACATGAGAATCAATCTTAAAACGAGACACAAATATACAGATATTGCAAAAGGGAATGGCTAGAGTTACAGTGTTAGTTTGGTGGCTAAGGGTTTGCTGACAAGAAACCAATATGATAGACAAGAAACCAATATGATAAGCATGAGAATTGTTCACAATTTCCCAACCGTATGGTTTATCAGAATAATGCATTCATTCATGCACGTTCTACATTTCAGTTAGATATACCTAAGCTTGACTAAAAAGTATGGAAGATGAGCCTTATAACCCAAGGTAAGACTAACAAGCAACCTAAGAATCATCTCACAACCTAGTTGCTTTCTTTGTTGAACAAAGAGCAATTGTTGGTTTTTCTTTCATGCATACCAAATACTCTAAATCCCCATTTCAGATTCGAGGTAGTCACCAACTTACATAATATAAATATGTTTCAACACCAGAAGATAAATAATCTAATATATCTTCAGAATAAGAACAGCATGGATGAGAAATGGATAATTACCAGCAGAATAACCATCTGAGATGTTCACAATGGCACCCAAAATGTTGTTCTGTGGATTCTCTCCCATGCTGTCTTGGCTGTGCTCATAACACGGAACCAGCACGGCAAAGCTGTTGTCTGTGTCATTGTCACTTTGGAATTCAGGTCCATGAGGTTCTAACCATCCAATAGAATAATCTGAATCATCAGATTCAGATCCTGAAACACATCCGCCATCAGATGGAACTAGAACTACATCATATTCCCTATCAATTTTTCTCTCTTCCCTGCTATGCCACTTGCGCTTTACCCTTCTAGATGACGATGAGAAATTAGCTCCCTTAACCAATGGGAACTTCAGATTATCTGATTCCCATGAACCTGAATCAGATGAAAGACTCAAAGAAGATCCATTAGATATTCTAGGTTCTTGATGTTTTCCACTCCATAGCCACCATGAAAGATTAGTAAAGGCCACAGCCATAAACAATACACCAAAAAACTGTGACCGAATTAGCGCTGAACGTTTGCAGTTGCAATTGGCAATAGCAGGTGCTAAAATCTAAGCCCAGCAGAACTCGTCTGCACACAATTTGCCTGGCACTTCCTGCATATAACATGGAATTCAAAAATATAAGAAGAAATCAAACTGAAGATAGAAAACACAAAGCAAGCAAATGGGAAGAAAATGGAGAGTTCAAGACCTCGACAAGCTGAATTCAACTTAACCTATCATCTAAAGAATCTACAGAGACAATCAAACACAACAGGAGCTATTCATTGTATCAGAAACCTTAACACCATTCACTTCTTCAAACAGGAAAACTATTTTTTTCAGACAATCATCTCACAAAATTCAACACCAATACATTGCAAAATAAAAGAACATGTAAGATTTCGTAAATGGAACCAATTTTCCTATTTTCCTTGAGACCTCCAGGCAACAGCACACAGCCTGTTAATACCAACTGTCAAACACAATGAATTCAGACAACTCGATAATTGCTAGATTAATCAGTCCCGTCCTGTAAAATCTTCCTAAATAATCCCGAATTAGAGAAAAAAAAGAAAAAAAGAAAAAAAAAAGATTACAGAAGCCCTTTCCTGCTAAAAATAGAATTTCTCCAATTCAACCAACGAAAATCAAAAGAATCAAAAAGCCCATGTTCTGTTCTGTCCACCCTTAACTCTATTCACATTTCCCAGATCAAATCAAACACCCATATCAAAAATCCCAAAAGTTTAATGACCCAAAATTCGAAACTTTCCCTTCAAACAGATTATGAGAAAAGTTAAAGGGAAAACGGAAAATTCCTGCCTTTTTGCTCAATACTCGAATATTGTACGAAGATTCAATGCAATCAAGAATAAAGATGGAAGCTTGAATCAAACAAAGTACCTTCAAAGCTAAAAAGGGAATGAAAAACTGAGATTATCAGATAATTCTCACGGAAATTTAAAAAAAAAAAAAATCAAAACTCCAATAAAATCGAATGCGTAATTCGATTTATATTTATCTCTTCTTCCTTTACTTCCATTTTGGGCACGTTATAGAGGGAGCTGCAGACAAAAAAAAATAAAAAAAATAAAAAAAAAATTGTTAAAATGAATAATAATGGTTGGCGATAATCCGCTGCGGATAAAAGAAAGGGATTGTTGCTTACACGTGACTATTTGTAAGGGTTTATTTGGAATTTTAATTTATAATGAGGCTAGTATTGACTGATTTGTGGGAAAGTGTATGGATGGGAATAAATCAAAAAGGTGAAACTGAGCGTAGAGGATTAAGAATTGTGGATGCCAAGTCAGATTTTCTGGGCTGGAAGTAGTGACGTGGCAGAGATCTGACCAAGAAAATTAAGATACGTGTATGGTTGGTTCAAGTAAATACATGCTTCTCTCCCGCCTTGCCTACCTCCAGGGAAATTCCGGCTTTTTTCATATTAAATAGTAATAGTTAATTTTAGATAAATTAACAATACATAAAAAATAAAAAAAAATCAAGATGATCTATTATTAAAAATAGTAAGATATTTAATTATAATTATTAAATATATAAGTTATAATATAAATTTTAATTTTATCAAATTTATTATATGATTATTATTAAATATTTTGATATTTGTAATACTAAGATATCTTAATTTTTTTTCTTATTAATAA